CTGACCCTCGCCCACCTGCCCACCTACCCATTCATAGTTTACAGCTCGATCACAAGCTATTTACGGTCTGCCTTGCCATTTAGATGCCACATTGCACTCAGCACATGAAAGATATTTAGTACTAGCTTCTTGATCACGCTCAAGTGGTTAATTAAAGAACAAGTGTTTTAACTAATAAAGGTGCTACGGATCCTTAAGTACTAAATAAACAAAGATGAAAGGGATGCTAGAGGGGAACATGCCAGATAGCTTTTATTTTTACATCAGCAAAAGTAGAATCTTTTGAGCAGAATTCTTTGGCTGTTGGATCAGCCTAAGGCCCTAAGACGGGCCAATTCAAATCAAGCCTGAAATAGATTTCTCTAAACAGCCGCCGTTTGAAATAGGCCTCGAGACTGGGGCCAGGGTGAGATGCTGGTCTCAGATCTCAAGTGAGGAACCAGTGCCTCCCGAAAGTCTGAGGAGCAATTTCTTGATTCCAGGAGCCCCTTCCCAGATTAGGTAGTTACTTTGTTACAGTATCGCTCATTCATATGGCCCCTAAAGCAAGACAAAGCAATCAGGGGATGGTGTATTTATTCTGACCTCAATCTCCCATGTTACACTGGAAAGCTTACCCCTTAACCAGCTGGTTGCCCTAAAGTTCACTAGAAGTGTTTTGCTGGGTTTATGAAACATCTCGAGTTAAATATCCAGCTGGGACCATTTAAAACAGACACACTGGGTCTCAATACAGGTAGCCTCCCACTCACAGCCCCCTCACCACTTACAGGTAAAGATCTGGGTTTGCCCTGGCTCCTGCGTCCCCACAGGGGAAGAGGGTCTCCCCGACATGATGGTGGGAACCTGGTGGGAAAAATTCCATAGGAACTACGGGGGCTCAGAAAGCGGGGGGAGGGAAACCTGGGAAGAGCCAGGGGGAGCCGACCCAGGGGCAGGATCCCAGACAAGGCTGACCTGCCTACGTGCTGATCAACCGAGGGACTGTGGAGCCCAAAATAGCCTCCCCGCAAGGCCTGCATTTCTTTCACGCTCCAAATTATGTTGTGCTGCTTGAAATTCCACGAGTTAGAGCGGCGTCCTGGCAGAGGCTGGCTGTGGTGGGAACATGGGGCGGGGCCCCTGGAAGCAGGAGGGTGACAAACGACGACTGTAACCCTTCTCTCTGGGGTTTTACAACGCACTGCCACCCCGAGGGACAGGCTTAACATCCTCCTTTTTCTCAGGTGAGGAAACTGAGGTTTAAGAGATGCCAAGTAACGGCTCGTTACATGGCCAGGCTGGGATCCAAACCATCGCCTGACCTGAACGTGTGAACTTGAGCTCTTGCTTATCAAAGCTCTTTGATTTCTTGCTCAGTGCCTCCCTGCAGATTTAGGGACCTGGCACCCCAGGAAGGAACTCTAACCTAATCATATTGTGAACGTGAGGTCAGTTATATCACGGTTTATATAGATTTCTGGGGGCTAGCCTGGGAACTTGATAGCTTGATTTTGAAGATTGTTCCTATAGGCACTTTTGTGACTCGCTACCAAACGGGTGGAATATAATCTCAGTATATTACAACAAATTGTGGACGAGCTGTAATTGCAATCTAACAATGCTCAACGTTTCCTCCAGTTGGCTTCCAGGCCCACAAAAAAACCCACTTTACCAGCCCAGGGATTTTCATGTTTCGTTTCAGTTTGCAATGCCACCAAATTGTACCACACGTCATGCGTTTACTAGACAGTACGTTCCATGAGGGCAGGGCTGCCGTCTCTTCGTGTAGCCAGCAGCCAGACAGCGCCTGGCACGGGCAGGCACACGTTTACCATCTGGCAAGCGAATACGTGTTTTCAGATCGCAGGTTTTTAAAACCACAAGCACATTACGCATTTCCCTGTGAGATGCATTGAGCGCTGTCACCCACAGCTGAGATCTGGGAGGTGACTACGATGAACTAAATCATTCAGACAACCTTGTGAAACATGCTTGTAGTCATTAGTTGAAGGCCTTCCTCCCCAACAAAGCGTTTTCCCCTCGGCGGCAAAACTGAACACTCTCTGCCCTTCGGCGGCTTGGGTGGGGGACCCTGGTCCCGGCTTCAGGGGACCTGCCTCCGGCCGCCCTGGGCTCTGGCCCTTGGACAGCCTGCTTCGGAGGCTTCCTTTCGGCTCTAAAATACTATGACATCTTCAAGTTTTACCTTCTAGATTCCTCACTGTCTACTGTAACCGCCCTCTGGAGAAGATACTGGCAAAAAAGCAAAATAAAAGAACCAAGGTTGCTAAAGACAAACGTCCTGGGTGCCCTGCAAGGGGCATCCCGAGTCCCTGCGTTCTGACCAGTTCGGCGCAGCCACAGGCGCAGCCACAGCCCATTTCTTCTCGGCCAACCTCCCGGGAGGCCAGGGAGCCCGTTACGGCTTCTCCTCGGCGGCTTCATCCCCGGAATAGAACTCTGGCTGTTCCGCTGACAGCGGCCCAGCAGAACACATGCGACCTTGGGGCGAGTGGACAGATGGGGAACAGTCCAGTCCCCTTCGAAAAGCACAGAATGACTGTTAAGAAGGCATCAAAGGGCCTTCGCTCAATCACTAAGCTACAAGCATTTGAAAAGCGGAGGGGCCCGGATTTATGGTACTTTATATTCTGAAATAGAACAAGCGACTTAATGTTTTTCTACATAAGCCTTAACCAGTTGCACGGTGTAGAGAGCAGGATGTAAATGTCAGCGCTACGACAGGGGCGCGCTGACAGGGCCGAGTGTTCAAAGCCTGCACACTGTCATTGTCCGGCCTGCCCTGCGCTGACAGCTTGCTACCGAACTGAACATACCTGGAAAGAAGTCAATTTGGCTTAGAATGCAGCTCCGTTTCTCTTTCAAGTTTCCTCCAGGATCTACTGGGCCTTCCCATAGAGAAAACAGAATCGGGTGTGTTCTGCTGCTTCCAATGTAAATAGACTAGTCAGAATCTTGTCCACTGGTGACTCAGCATCGGTTTGGGAGAAGGGAGGTAATCTCCCTTCCTCCACGAGGTGCCCTCCTCGCCCGCCCCATCAACAGGGATCACGCCGCCTTGCTCTGTGATCGACGGGACCTTGTAGGAGGCCCAGAGTTTCATGGCGTGTTATCAGGGCGTGATTCTAACCCTGACTGCGCGTGAGACTCACCTGGGGAACATCTGAATATCCAGATGCCCAGGCCACGCCCCAAACCCATTAAATCAGAATATCCTAGGAGGAGGCCCCGGGATCGGTACTCATTCATGCTCCCAGATGATTCCAGTGGGGTGGGGGGCTCCTCTTTTGAGTCTTTCCCCAGAGGACGTGAGGCCAGGGGACACAGCTCGCTGCCACTGGAATTCTGGAGTGGAAGGGCCTCTTCCTTTAACCGTAGGGTTTTAAATTGTGCATTGAGTTCTCCACGCAAGTAAGTAACCTGTCCAAACAGAGTTAGCTGGAAGCAGAGCCAGAGCCAGGATCAACCAAGCTGAAGGAGACAGGATATGAACACGCTAACTAGGTCTCCATGAATGAACCAGCTTCACAATCACACAGTCTTTTTTCTCTCCCGCGTGGCCTAGTCAGAGAATGACGCTCTCCCACCGCGTCCCTGCCCCTCTGGCCTGAGCTGTAGGAACGAAGGAAAAGCCACTTACTTCCCGTGGGTACTATTCTGAAGGCAATGGTCCTGAGGGGCATTTTAAATTTAAGTTTCTCATAGAGAAACATTAAGATGGAAATTCGTGGTTGAAACCAAAGCCGTTAAAAATAGGTTTATATAGTACAACTGATTGACAGAAACTCTCGAAACAGTTATTTTTCATTTCAAGGAATCGAGATGTCCTCTTTCTAACTGAAGTCGCTCTTGAAGTCTTAATGTGCCTTAAAAAAATGAACTTTTTTTTTTCTTTTTTGGGACTTTGGGCAATATGCTTTTGTTTGTGTAATGAAGCATAAAATAAATTCCTCAGATCTCCTGGGCTGTGCTTAGCCCAAGGCTGCAGGCTTTGGGGGCCTCTCCATACAGCTGACTTGGGGGACCACTTCTACTGTGCATGTGACTACATAGTTTATTTCAAGTGCAAAACAGCACAGGGGCGAAGTGGGGGAGAGGGGAGAGAGCCAGGCTGACATTCTGGCTATAGCTCACTGCTGCTTTATTTTGGAATTATGTCAATTTTTCTACCTCTGTTACCTACACACCTCCCCGGCAGCCTCCAGCTTGCAATGTAGCATCCCTTGCTTTATAGAACAGATACACTTCTGCAGTACGGAAGGTAAGTTACACCATAGCTGACATGCCCTGATAAAGTGCCCTCTAAAACATCTGTGAGAGGTACAATCACCAGCTTATTTTCTGGTGTGAATAACCTGGTTTCTCTTCTTAAGGGTTAACATCATCATGCGTGGCGTGAACGACAGCGCCCCCCCCCCCCCCCCAGATCCCCTATCACGATTCACCCCATGTCTTTCTAGAAGCGGAACTTTCCTGAACTGACCTGATACTGCCCAGACGCCCCTCTGGAAACCGAGGCCCTGCTGCGTTTTCTCTGACTCTGGCTCGGTTTGGTGAAGGCCGAGGCGCCTTCCCTTTCAAGGGTAGTTTAGGACGGAAACGCAATTGTTTTCAGAATGCAGCACAGCCGGGCGCCCCCCAAGCAGATAACAGTTTGGAAGGAAGAAAAAACATGGTGTGCGTGTGCTGGGGGAAGGGGAGGGGTCGGCTGTGCTTTCCTGTGGTGGTGGTGGTGGAGAAAGTGTCTGTTCACCGGGACGCCGGATGGACAGCATGAAAGCTGGACGCCCTCTGCACTGGGCAAACCAGCACGTGCCCTGTACAGACCAGGCGTCCGGGCCTTCGGGCAGCAGCCGCCTGCAGCCCCAGCGCGGCTCTGCCCGCGGGTCGGGGAGGCCCTGTAGCCGTCCGGGCTGGCCTGGGTTGCATGCGGGCGGCGCGTAGGGGTGCGTGGGGGTCCGCCGACGGGCCCCCCGCGGGGAGGGAACGGTTCTTACAGTCACTGCTCAGCGCGAAGGGAGCGCGGCGGCGGCCGAGGGAGCGGTCTTCGGCGGGCGCCTCGGGAGGCCTCTTACCGGCGGGCAGCGGGAAGGCGGACGCGGTGTGGAGCAGCACCAGGCAGACAGCCACGACATCCCATAACTTCATCTTAGAGTCCCGTCCGGCGGCGGCACCTGCGCCCGCGGGCGAGAGAACCGGAGAACGCAAGTTAAGCCTGGGCGCCGCCCTGGGTGCAGCATCCCCGCGCCCTCTCCAAATTTGGCACCGCCGTCCTCTGAGGCCGCTGCAGCCCAGCGGCTCCCTGGGCATCGTCCTCCATCCAAGGTCCCTACCCTCTCCCCCTCCCGGTGCGCCCCAAGCGCGGCACTGGCTCTCTCTCGCGCGCGCTCTCTCTGTTTCTCTCTCTCTCTCGCTCGGTGTTCAGCCACAACGGCCTTTCGCTTCTGCCACCCTTCCCCAGGAGTCTTATTTTGACGAGGTCCGCTGCCACCGCAGGTCTCAATAAGACGACACCAGGACACCTGGTCAATTCTATGACACCAGGACTCCTGACTAGCTCGTATTTCTGGCGCACACCACCTCCATCCTCTGCTGGCGGCCGGGAAGCCCCCAAGCGGCGCCTGTCCTCCGCCCAGCCAGAGACCCCCCTTCCCCGCCGAGCAGCTCCCGTGGGCTCCGGATAAACCACCTCTCAACCTAAGCAAGCCAGCAGGCCTTTTATGTTGGAATAAAACCAAGCGCCCCTGTCCCGGGGGTCCCGATCCTGCTCCCGACTGGGCGCGGCAGGCTCGGTGGCACAACCCACCCGCCGCCCACGCTTCCGTCTTCCCACCTATTTTGTCGTCGGAACAAGAAGTTAGCAAAGACTTGCAGACTTTTGGCCGGTGTGAGATTAAGTTACATAACTCCCCGAAGCATCAACTCGGTTTAAAATCCTAGTTCCACCTCTTGGAGTTACGAACATGGAATAACGTATGAAAAGCCTGGCGGAGCATAACGCACGCGCTCCATCAATGCTTCGGCACTGGTTGTAGGTAGGGACCGCATTTGTCTTGAGAAGTGTTAATGCTTAATTTCTGCAGTTTTGCGAGATTCCCACCCTAAATCCCTTCCCCTCCCAGAGGAGCCTCGAGCTCCCCGCACCCCGTGCTCGGGCGACGGTACCCGGGCCCCGGCCTCGGCGGCTCACGCCGGCACCGGAAGGCCTAGGCCGGTCAGCGCGCGCGGCGTGAGGGCTCCGCGTGGCTTCTCCGCCCTCACACCCCTAGAGAGGAAGGCCACGCACGGGGGAGGAGGTGGCGAGAAAAAGGCTCCATCAACTCTGGGCCAAACTCCCCCCAGTCAGGAGGTGGGGAGGGAACCTGGGCACCTGGGGGTGCGGTGCTGCCCAGGAGCTCCCCAAAGCCAGGGCTCCAGTTTCCACGGAGCTCTCAAGTGGAAACCACGGGACTCGTGCAGGTGACTACCCCCGTCCTCCAAATACAACAGGTTTTTAGGAAAATCTCTGAACTTTTTCCACGGGAGCGAGTAAGACAGCTTCCAGGTAATGCAAAAACCTGGGTGCCTTTCGCCTCTATTAATAAACGGGCCCGCCGCCTCCCTTCCAGCAGCCGCCGCTTCTTCTCCCCGCCTCCTCCCAGGTCTCCCGCCCGGGTTCCTGGACAGGCCACCCGTAGAAGCGTCTGATTCGGCTGCCACCTCCCACCGTGGCGGACACGAATGCATTTTCCATCCCCAGGGCGTGTTTGTTCGCCACGCAGCTGTTGGGCGCCGGGAGTTGCTGGGGACTAGGAACTCGGGGCGACCTGCAGCTCCGGGGCCTCACCCCGCGCTGTTAGTCTACGACCCCGGGAAAAGGCAAAGGCTCTGGGTTCGCGCGCACGGGCCCAGGGAACACCGCACCCAGGCCGCGCAAAATGAGCGCAGCGACGCGTGTTAGCAGAGAGGACCGGCGCGCGAGGCCTCCCGCCCCCTCCCCAGCGCCCGCTCCCGGGCACACGCGAAATGGCTGGCGGCCCCGACGAACAGGCAGGCGCGGGGTTAATGCGCCAACCAAATCGCGGTGCCGGCCAGCAGGAAGCGGCAGGGGCACCAGGTTTCCCTTCCGCATTAAGAGGGGTTTTCCTTTTTATTCCCCCCCCCCCACGCTTGGCCGACGGAGGACTTTTAAAATTGGACGTGGGAATCCTCGGTTAGAAGCGTGGCGAAGTGGCAAGAGAGGAAACAGTGGAAAACTCCCCGCCTCGCCAGAGGAGGCTCCCAGCCCCCGCTCCCGCCCTCCGCCCGGTGCAACGCAGGCCCCGAAAGAGCTCTCCCAGCACCGCGGGCTAGGGAGGCGCATTTCCCCGCTGCGCACCCCTAGGGCTGGCTCCAGTCGGAGAGGCTCCCTAGTTACCGGGGGACGAGGAGGGGGTCTGGGGGTTGAGCACACACCTTGGTCTACAAGGACACTTTCTCTGAGCCCTTCTGCCCCCCACCCCGGCCCGCGACTTCCTTGCTTGTCTCTGCCCGACGTATTTCTGCCGCCTTTACTACGCGCGTAAGTTCCTTAACCAGCTGCCGCGTGCGGTAACCCAGCTCTCGTCCCGAAGTCGGCCTCCGCACCCCTTCTTGCACCCAACACGCAGGGCCAAAGGAGTGTGTCGCAGGCGCCGGCACCTGGTAGTCCCCAGGCCCTGGCGGAAAGGACGCCCAGGAGAGCTGGAGTGCCCGCGGAAGCCGCCGCTCACCGGGGGCGCTTCTGAGTTCCCAGCACCAGGGGGCACCAGAAACCGCCGGAGTCCCGTCGCGCCCACGCGTCCGGGAGGCTACGTTGTCATTTTGAGGGTGAAACCGGCGAACGTGCACTCCCCCTGCAATCCTCCCCAAATCCAAATCACTCCTGCAACGTCTGGGTGTCCTCACCAGCGTCCCCGCTACTCGGGCAGGCTCCCACCCCTCCATCCTCTTTCCCTACCTCACCTGGGCTGCCCCCCCGCCCCCGCCCTCAGCCTCCGGTTAGGACTCCTCCCCAGAGTCCCCCAGCCGGGGTGACACCTTCGCCGCCGCCGGGGAGCGCTCCCACCGCCCCCGCCCCCCCCCCCCGGGGTCTGGCAGCCCGGGAGGTTTCTTCGGGCTTCGCCTTCAAGATCCGGATCTCAGGGAGAGAACAGGGAGGCGGCGTGGGGGTGTGTACACTGTCACTCGTGGCTTTCCTCTGGGGTAGGAGCACAAGTTGCTGAAAGAGATGTGCTGCTTTGCCTCACTGTGCCTCGTGTCCTGTCAGAGGACATACTGTCCCCAGGGTGGGCCCAAGACCCAGGGAAGGGAAGAGAATAAGGGAAGCCTTCCGTAGACAGTCTCGGGGAGGATCGGCCTGTTAAAGGGCCCGAGGCCGGGTTTCAGGTCCAGGGGCCTCCCCGAACCCCTTGCGAGTTGCGGGGTGGGAACGCTGCGGGCTTCCCGAACACCTAACACTTGCTGAAAAGGCGACACTCGCCCCTCTCCCCGCCAAAGCGGAGGCGTCGCGCAGCAGCGGGGCGAGACCTCCTCGGGGCCAGGTGGAAGCGCAGCGGCTCTCGCTTGGAAGGCTTTAGGGGAAGAGGTGCTTGCGGGAGGCTGGAAGCGGCACCTCCGCCTGGGAAAGCTCTAAGTGTAGATTCAAAGCACCGAGGAGCAGTCGAGGGCGCTGACATACCCGCGGCAGGGGCTGTAAGGGCTGTTGGTCCCCGCCAATAAGCAGAAATGTAGGGAGCACGAGGTTTGGGCGCCCCCCACCCGCCCACCCGGGAGCGCACAGAGATTCTGCGCGCGGGTTTCCCGTAGCCCAAACTAGGGGGGCGCCAACAGGTTGGGGCGGGGGGGGGGGGCCGCCGGACGTCCATTCCCCGCCACGATGAGGGTGGTTTTCACCGAGTGGGGCTGGAAACTCAGCCGCGACGAAATCTGCCCGGAGGTGGTGCAAGGTAGTGGAGGGGGTGTTACCCGGGAGGTGGCACAGAGTAGAGCACAGAAGAGGTTATTAAGAGAGTCACCTCGAGGGCCTACGGAAAAACCTTGGGGAGTTTCAGGTGTTAGTTCTGACCCCGACTGGGACGGTTAGTTGGGGCTGCGGGGATTAGGAACGTGCCAGCAACCCGTTCCGAGAAGGGCGAGAGGAATGCAGCTTCGCAAGACCGCGCCCGCAGGAGGTGAGCCCTATTTTTAGGTTCTCAAGCACCTTCACGGCAGCCCCTCCGGGGCCTGCGCTGTGCGTTGCTTGGAACAGACCAAAACAAGCCCATCAGTAAGTTTCACTCCCGGCAAAGCTATCTATGCAGCGGCACGTCCCGAGAGGACACTCTGGTCGCGACGGATTCGAAGACGACCCCAGCCCCGCACCGTCCCGGGACTTGAAAGGAGAGAGCCCCGCGGAGTCGGGGAGGGAAACTGCCCGTCTCGGACGTCGCGAGGTCTACAGACAGTCGGGGCAGCAAAGCTCTTTGCCCACGTGGGAAGGCAACCTACCCCTCCGCAAGACAAGCCTCTCTACCGTTCAACTTCTCTCTCCTCTCTACGCCCGGCGCCTCGCTACCCTCTCTAGTCGTCCCTCCTTCCAATCTCACCGCCCGCTCTGCGGTCCAGCCGCGCCCCGAAGGCCGCCGTGCCCGCCAGCTACTCAGGCGCCACCCGCCCTCTCCACCGGGGCCCGCTTCTCCGCTTACCTCGGATCCGGTCTCCGCAGACCCCCGGGTGGACATTAACTCCAGGAGCCCCAAGTCCCAGCCAATACACCCATCCGGGCCGAGGGCAGGAGCGCGGAGCCCCGCCCCACAGGTCAGGGCACGACGAGTTCGCAATCCTGGGGCCGCTCGGGGCTGCGAGGGCGCGCGGGAGGCGGCGGCCAAGGCTCCAGCCCCCTCCGCCGCGAGAAGGGTGAAGGATGGCGACAGTTCCCCCGCCGACCCCCCGCACCCCCAGAAGTCGAGGTCGGAGCAGCTGCAGCTGCCTCTGGTGGGGGGTGACAAGGCTGCGCGGGCCCTGGGCGCGGCGGGCAGCTCAGCGGCGGCGGCCGCGCTCTGCGCCTTCTCGGGGCGCAGCGCCTGGGTGCACGAGATGGGCCGGGCTGATGCTGCCGCGGGAGCCGAGATCTTGCCTGGAAATCCGAAGGAGACACCACGTCAACCAGCGCAGGGAGTCGGTTGAAGACATGAGGGCGCCAGGAGCGCAGGCTGGTCCTTGAGAGCCCGGGCCAGGGGGCCGGGGGCCGGGGTGGGGGAGGGGAGGCGCGGGGCCCGGGGAGGGGAGGGGTCGGGAGGCGCCGGTGGAAGAGGGAAAGCAGAGCAGCGAGGAGGCGCCCGAGCTCCGGAGGCGGGGGCCCGGGGTGCGAGCGGGCGACGCCGGGCGCCCCTCCCAGGGGTGCAGGGAGAGCGCTCAGCGCGTGGAGACGCTGCCGGGCTCGCGCCGCCTCCTGCCGGAGTAGATCCGGAGGACTGTGCGGAGCTCGGCGCAGTCCAGCCCGAGGGGGCAATCCGAACTTGACCGTGGCGTGCGCGCCTGGCTTCGTCCCCGCGCTTTGAAGGAGGGCGCGCTGTCGGGTGGAGGGCGACACCGAGCGTTCCTCGCGCCTGTCGAAGGCTTTCCGTCCTCCTGGGGGTTTAGCCCGCTCGCTTCTCTGCAGGGCAGAAGAAGGCCGTGGCGAGGAGAGGAGCTGCGGGCCGGAGTTTTCCCAGCACTTACGAAGGAGAGGTGTGGAGCCGCCAGTGAAGGAAGCCGAGCGTTTGCCAGGGGACGCCGAGAGTGGGGATGAATTTATAGGGCGCTCACTCCGTGACGTGCCCTCCAGTGGCTTTTCTGATTCGCTTTCTGACCTAAACACACATTAGTTGAGTCCCCATGCTGGGCCAACACGGTCTCCAAATATCTGCTGGCTGAAGTCAGAGGCTTTGCATATCATGTATTACATGGCAGGCAATGAAGAAGGCTTCTGAGGCTGGCCGGCTCCTCAGTCCTAGGCTCCATTTTCATGCTGTTGTAATATAATACCAGACATGGGGTAGGCACATACATTCAAAATCCCAATTCCAGAGGCGTAAGATCACCTCATCGGGGACAGGTCAGGGGAGGTTGGGCTAAACTTGCTTTTATCCAGATTTCCCAAAAAGCAGATGGGAAACCTAAGCAGGCAGTGTGCCTTGGTGGTGCCGAGCTGCCTGTCAGCAGGGACTCAGCTCCCCAGTGCCGATCTCTGGGAGACCCTTCGGCGGCGTTGCTTTTGATGGTGAAGTTGCCACCAGAAGCAGCCAGAGCCTCGTTCTGTAGGGGAGGAGAGGAGGACAAGTCCTTACACATCCTGCACCTGATTCTGCCCACAAATACATTTCATCTACTCTGGGCAGGAAATTAGCCCTACCTTTGAAACAATGCGGGGCAGGAAATTAGCTCTACCTTTGAAACAATGTACCAAGTCAGGGCCGTCTTTGTTAAGCAGCAACCTGCTTTCTGGAAGCCATTGGCCCTGAATTCAGTGGGACCTCTTTCATTTTATCAGCTGGAGCCAGGGAGAGTGTAAACAGGCTCAGTTTACATCCATGGACCTCTTATTTTAGGACTCATCCGGCTGTTGGGGAGCACGTGTTCCTCAAGTAGCTGATACAGACAATAGACAGGGGACACGCGTGTGGCAACGTGGGGGGAAGATCACCTATTATTACACTTCTTGAAAGCCAAAGACCACCTACTTTGGAGATCTGTCAGTGAAGCTAGCCTGGGAGGCAGATTGATTGTTCTTACGAATGTGCCTGTGGTTTAGGATTAGGCAGGATGAAAATCCCGTCCTCCAAACATACCTGAGCTGAAGTGCGGATGCCCGCTGCTGGCAGCCTGTGCCGCGGCGTCCTGGGCGAGCTCTGTGGTGGAAGTGCAGATGGGTTTGGAAATGGGAGGGTGGAATAAGCTTCATCTATTCTCGTTTAGCATTGTGTTTGGAATTGGAAGGCAACACTGGTCAGTGTTCCAACCATGAATGATTTCCTCATTTTCAGAAAGATTTTCACTGGGGATGGTCATGCCGTCCGAGCACCTGAAAGGGTTGAGCACTTGTTACGTGCCAGGCAAAGGTGCTTGGCCCTGGGACTTGTGCTGATTGGGCTTTTGGGGGTTGCGAAGAACAGACACCGCTGAGTTCGCCCTAAGTAACGGGAGTTTGCTGTGGAAGGGAGGCTGACCGGCATCTCCCCCACTCAGCCACGTGTCTCCGAAAAGCCTTCCGGAAAGGCCGCCCAGCCAGGCCTCACGAAAACTGGATTGAAGTTCAGGAACTGGAAGGTCACCCAGGATACAGATCTGTGGCTGGGCCATCTCACTGCCCCCTGAGCTGCAGGCGCCTGCCTCGGATCCCTACTCACAGGCTTAGCCGCCGAGGTGATTCAGTTCCTCTCTCTCTCTCTCTCTCTCTCCCCCCCCCCTCTTTCTCCGGGTGTCTCTTGGCTTCTGTTCCTGCTACCAACTGCTCAGCTCTCGGTGGATCTCACATTTAAACTCCTTTAGTGAAAGGATCTAATTGGCCTTGCTGGGCACTAACCAGGTGCTGGAGTTGGATTGAGGCTTTGTGTGAGGCCTCCCTGGGGGGTACGGGGCCCCCTGTAGCTCTGGTGCTTATTCCTGGGCTTATCTAATCGCCTGTATCCACACTTAGGCCCACCTTTACCTAAGAAACCTCCTAGGGTTCCTCCTTGCCTTTCCTCCACAGGTCCAGTGCCCCAGGGCAGGCTCTGGGAGGATAGCACGCTCTCTACTACAAGACTCAAAGGTGCATGAGGTGCAGCGCCCGGCTCTTCAAAAGCTCACCATCTATATAGAGCGGGAGATGCGTACACAATCGTAGGATAAAATAATAGATCCTCTAATAAAGGTATGTATGAGGTGCTCAAGTCTGATCTCCACCTGCTCAATGAAACCTGGGGGAGATTACAAAACATACATCCATGTCTAGGCCTACTTCTGGGTGATTAAGTGAGAATCTCTCGGGCGGCAGAGCCCAGGAGTTGGCATTTTTAAAACGTTCCCCAGGTGGTTCTATGTGCAGCAGGGTTGAGGTATCAATCAGCTTGATTTATTTTCATAAGATGATCATAATCACTTGATAAGAGATCCACTTATTTTGATAGCTTGTAAGATTGACTCTTCCAAAATATTACATTCCTTTAGAAATGTTACTGATTATCTTGAAATGGAAAATACAAAGAGAAAAGTAAAATTTAATTTAGAGATAAAGCAAATACTTCTAGTTCTGAAAGAACATTTATTTGTATGTTTACAACATTCAGGTGACCACAGAAAAGGTGACAAGGTCTAACATTGCCAAGCTCCCCCACCACAGAGCCCAACCTTTAAATGTACTGTAATCGACATTGACAGACATCTCCTCAGACCTGCCTCTACAGACCATGAAAAAGTTTCTTCCAAAGTGACTGCCAGGAAGCAGGCGTTTGATGTCATGGGGACCAGGGGATGGTCTGATGTCACCACCTTAAAGCCCCCAAATGCTGAAAATAGGGACCGTCGTCGCTCCATGGCCCTTGTCTTCTCTTTCCTTGAGGAAACAAAAGCGTTTGGTTTGAAGGCGCTGCTCCTCTGCAGGGTCCAGAGAGAACAATCTGCAGCATCATTTTTGCTTTGATTAGGTAGACGGCCCCGTGATAAAGCAACAACACCACAGTGCCAAGAACTCTCACACGGTCCCTGGATCTGAGCCTTCCATCTGGAAAACCACGTCTCGAGAGTCAGAAAGAGAGAAGCAAGTATCGTTCAAGCATTTCGGCTCCTCTTTCAGAAAAAAAGGTCAAAACCCTGCTCACTCCCCATTGCCCGGTATCACCGTCTTCAGCGGAGTGTGCTGTGGGTCTCTCACGGAAGGCTGCCCAAGTGATGGGTGCTGTCTGTGCCCGAGGATCTTCCTTCCAGTCCTGGGGAGGAGAAAGCACGCGCAGATAAAGAATACAGGGTTGCTCTAGGAGCTGGAGTCAGTGCTCCGTGGCTGGAAGGCGGCTCTGGAGACTCAGTGCTGAGTGCTGCAGCCTGGAGGGGCGGCGGGGCCGTGGGCCAGCCTTCGGCCCATCCCAGGGCGGCCTCGCAGCTCCCCGGGGGGCTTTGCAGCTGCTTTGCCTGTCAGGGTCAGGCCCTGGGTCCCTGGACTCCCTCACAACATGGGTCACGAGGGCTGAAACAGAATCCGTCGCCTGAGCGGGGCAATTTCCTTTTCAAAGTCACCACTTTATTGAGCAGGGATTTGTTTCATGCTTGCTTGCTCTTTAGCAGTCATTTTCACCAATGATGCTGTTACTCATAAAAAAGAGATAAATTTGCTATGCTTCAGAGCACTTAAAAAAAAGAAGGAAAAAGGGAGGGGGTGCGGGGATGGACTGTGCTGGCCTCTCTGCAGAGCAGCAGTGAGAGAGACACATTCTTTGGAGTAAGTTGTTTTCTCATGAGGAATCAGTTCTGACATTGAGATGGTGGATTTATCAATGATTTCCAACAGTTTTTTTTTTATAAGGATCAAATTGTCTATCTATTAGTTTTGTGTTTGGTTCCTGTTTTGGTTGTTTTCAAAACACATGCACGCACATACACACACAGAGCTTCAGTCGGGTAAGATGGTAACAACAGCAGACTCCGTTGTTTTACAGGTGGTCTAACAGCTTAGATCCGGGGTTGGCCAACTTTCTGTAAAGGGCAGGCG